CACATATATCTGACATATTTACAAAGTACACTAAGATTAAGATGAGTTTTATGCCAAAACAAATATATATGAAATAATTTTATGAATTAAGTTTATGATATTGAATGAAATGTGTGACCATGCCCCAGTCAGGGAAAGCGTCTTCCCTACCCCTAGACTCCAGAGGGTTAACAATCACCAATCCAAACCAAAACTGGATGATTCATTTCTCCACAGACCCTCAGCCCACCCTGTTAAGGGCATCCCAGTCTACTACAGTGACAACTTTTGAATTTCAGCCTATTTCTCCTGGACTTTCAAGCATATACTTGAAATCTGTTGCCAGGCCAATTCAATATGGTATGCGAAATCCAACAACCTATACAACTTGATTCTGTTTCTTTCAATTTTTTGCCAATTTCGTACAAGTCTGAAAACAGGTTTTTTTCTAACTCGTCCTAGGATTCTCACCCAGCCTATATAAATCTGGTATCATTCCAATCAGCAGATAGTCCTTATAAATATTTCTTTAAAAAATCCTAAACTTTCTGTAACTCATGGCCACTAGCCACACCCAGACCATATCTGCGCCACGCCCATTTTTATCAAAAGCTATATCAGAATCAGAAGCAGAATCAGAATCAGAATCAGAATCAGAATCAGCCTTTATTCGCCAAGTGTGCTGGGGTACACAAGGAATTTGTTCCGGCAGCTTGAGACTCTCTCGTACATAGAGACACTATACAAGCTATACAACAATAAATGACACTATACAACAATAAATGACACTATACAAACAAACAATAAATTACACTGTACAAAAAATTACAAGTGTGAAACATATAAATATTACATACAAGCCCACGTGGGTAACATTGTACATTATTAAGGTACGACGTAGAGTGTAGACAGGGAGCAGGTGACAGCTTAGCTGTTTATGAGGGTGATGGCCTGAGGGAAGAAGCTGCTCCTATGTCTGGTGGTTTTTGTGTACCGAGTTCTATAGCACCTGCCAGTGGGGAGGAGCAGGAAGAGATTATGTCCTGGGTGTGACGAATCTGAAATGTTTTTAACTGCTCGTTTCCTAGTCCTTGAGCAGTACAAGTCCTGGATGGAGGGCAGGGGGGCACCGATGATCTTTTCTGCTGTTCGTACAGCCCGCTGCAGTCTGTTCCTATCCTGCTTAGTGGCTGCTCCATACCAGACTGTGATGGAGGAGCAGAGGACAGACTCAATGACTGCAGTGTAGAATTGGATCAGCAGCTCCTGTGGAAGACTGTACTTCCTCAGTTGTCTCAGGAAGTACATCCTCTGCTGGGCCTTTTTGAGGATGGAGGATCTTGTGCATGCTTTGGCCAATCATCACCAATACACAAAATATGTACTGTAGGACTGTACTGGGGAAGGACCCTCCAAATTTGACACCAATCAGTCAATAGGGGGTGCTACAGCAATGTAACATGTGTCTCTAAACCTGCCAAACCAGTGCAACTGACATTTTCCTCATTTCTCTTTGAAAAAAGTTTAATTACTTTACGTTCCATGAGTCATGCCAAATCAAAAAATATGTCGCCACCAGACCTAGCCTATTCTGGAAGCACGTGAATCAGCACACTACCCTCATAAAAAATCTTTGACCTGCATGTACAGTACGGCCACCAACCACACCCAACGCCCATTTCAATCAGACAGCTATATCTCAGGCATACTTCAGCCAGTCCTCACCAAATTTAAGCCTATGCTGTAGCACCTTCAATACCCTCTTGCCTGTGCCTCGATTTTATGGATGTGGAAAAATGTGTGTGTGTTTTCAGTGGTGCACAGGTGAAGTACCTGTGCTTTACTGTACTGTCACTATGATAATGCCAAGTCTGGCCAGATGGTCCAAACTGCAGCTGTCTTATTTTTATTTTATAGGCTCCTCATTTCAAGACCTTGGACACGGGGAGCCGGGGTTCTCTGCTCCAGCCAGAGCTGCGGGCCGCTGCAGGTCCGCCCCATTGCTGTTCAAGAGGTTTACATGCACCTCTGGGTCTCATGACCGACTAAGCCCCAATCATAAAAAATCAGTGACATTCTTCCTGCAGTGTTTGCCCTTCATGTTTGAATATGAGATTGTAGCATCTTAAGGACCTGGACATTACACAGTAAGTTGGCTCAGAGGTGAGATGCAGTCTGAAAGTGCTCTTTTTATTAATAGTCCAAAAAGAACTCAGTAGCACGCATGCACAAATTGAACTCACTCACACAAGTCACACCTCCGTGTGGTTTTAGCACTCAACAGGGAAATGGAGGGGGGTCACTGTAAAAGCAGGGGGAACCGCACATGCTGGGAAATTTAGAACAAATAAAAATGCAGGGATCGAAAGCTAAATTAAACAGGATACAAGTACAGGCACAAGCGACAGACAGCACAAGGCACATTATTAGTATAAATGACAAAGACAGGGGCTATTTACACATGCCTTGCCTGGAAACATGCAAATTACAACCACTCAGTGTTTGAATCACTAATGCAAAAAAGCAGGGTTGGCAACTTTGGTCAACTGGCTGGAGTGAGATTTTCAATTTGAGACGAGTCTGCACACACATTTACATGTATGTAAGAGTTTTATTACCTTGTAAATAGCCTGTAGGGCTTTCAAACTGCCCCAATGCTTCTGATGTAGCTAATTTTAGGTTTATAATGGAATAATATAATTTGCATGAGTTAGTCTGCTGCCTTTGTCATATTATTTGTGATTGTTTTATTTCTTTCATCTTTGATTTGTAATTATTAGTTTTTCTTTATTTCCTCCGTGAAGCACCCTTGTGTTGTTGAAAGGTGCTATATAAATTAAAACTTGTTTGTTGTTGTTGTAAGCATCTAGGACAGGGGTGTCAAACTCCAGTCCTGGGGGGCCGGAGCCCTGCACAGTTTTTGGTTCACCTTTATTTAACATGCCTGATTCAACTCCTTGTGCTAATTACCACACAGCTCATAAGCTAAATCATTTGTGGTGGAACAGGAAAAGAGCTAAGCTACACAGGGCTGCAGCCCCCCAGGACTGGAGTTTGACACCCCTGATCTAGGATAAGGGAGTGTGTGCTGAGAAGATTATTGCAGATCCCTTTCATGCTAGCCATTTATGTGACTGTTTTTTCTTGGTTGATTATATGGTTGTGTATACACGTATGTCATCACCTCAAATTTTATGACTTTGACTGTGTGACTTGGCACTTAGCCATCTCTCTGATCTGACTTTTCTTGCCGGCCCCTGGAGGATGGGCTCCCCCTTTGAGTCTGGTCCCTCCCAAGGTTTCTTCCTCCTAGGGAGTTTTTCCTTGCCAGTGTCGCCTCTGACTTACTCACTGGGGGCTTTGGGCAGGGATGGTGTAAAGTGCTTTGAGACGATGTAATGTGAAAATGCGCTATATAAAAATAAATTTGTTGTTGTTGTATATCTGATACAGTTCCTTGATTTTCCTCCCTGTTCTCTGGTTGTAACATTGTCCAGTTACCCTTGTTATCTAGTCTCTCCTGGTGTTTGATTCTTTATGTCACATGTGCTTGCTCCTAGTAATTGTATAGGCCTAACCAGTCCCTTGTCTTACCCTCATTATCTGTGTATATATGTGCCTGCCGTTACCTTTGTTCTTCTTTGTTGCCTTTTGTTTGCTCCCAGTTTGCTGTGTGTATTTGTTACCTGACTGAGTAGTTTGTTCCTGTGTTGCTCCCTGCTTTCATTCATTGTTTTCTACCCACCTGCCTCGTTTTTGACCCCCTTGTGGTCCTTTTGTTTCTTATGTTATTTTTTTGAGTTTAATAAAGTCCCTTTTTGTGAGCCACCAAGCCTGTCCATGACACGTACATTGCATATGTGTAGCAAAAATAAAACTGTGACCAAGTGATGAGTCTGTATAAAATCAAACTTGTAGTAGACGTCTGCTAGTAGACGTGAGTGTGTATCTGGCTAGACCTCAAGTCACCATGCACATGATGCATGTGTTAATTTTTGTGCAGTTGCAGCTCCAGAAATGGGTGGAGAGAGTAACACATTATCACAAAAGTACTGAGTATCTGCAAACCTGTAAGAAGAGATGCATACAACAAACAGCCGCCTGGCCCGGAAAGACTCCTGCTTGCAAAGTCAGTGCTGTGCAATTACTGGATGCTGCACTGGTAAACTAACAAATTAATGAGTCCAATGACTTCTACAGGTATTAATGTGTGGCTCTATGGGTTGGGATTGTGTTGATATCTTGAAGATTGTGGTTAGAATCTTGTGGATGACAGAGTAATCATATCATTGATGGGCCTGTAACCCTGAACACTGCTTTGGAGGTGTCAGATTAATGGCTGAACCTCTGTTCAGACAGCAAGCTTTCCTACATTTTCACTGTATACGTGTTCCCTCTAAGGACAGCAAGATGGCATGTGTGAAACCAGAAGAATTTCTATGCACCTGCACTTAAAGAAATGTGTAATCACCGCATAAGCATGCAGAAGAGCTGAATAAACATGACAAACAATATGACGCATTTTACTTAAGGCCATAACTGGAGAACTATTTTTACAGTCAACAAAAAAGTGTATGTTTGACTTTCTGTGTATGAATATATGTGTGTGTCTGTATGTAGAACTACAAATGCCACATAACCAGAAAAATTATCGACTGCAGTTTTTTTCTTATTGGATATTCAAAACTAGGATGCTTGCAATCAATAAATTAGGAAAAATCATCATATTAACTTATAACAGGGTGTTCGACCAATTTCCAGATGCTTTGGCTTATGCATTGTGATCACACATGCATTGGGTATGACGTTAAACTGCATCCAGCCCTGCAAGCGGTCCTCCAATTCGCAGGAAAAAAATGTATTTGTGCTAAATACAGTGCAGTTCGTATCTGTTTGCGCCTTGTAGGCGGAGCCTGCATGTCCGTTATAGCCGAACAAAACTACAGCTAAAAGCGGCCCTGGGGACCGAATTGTTTGTCCATTATAAGCGAGTCCACTATAACGGGATTATACTGTATAGTGAGTGTATATAATATATACTGTACAATATAATGGATAAGGAGAAGGCAAAACAGCAAACTGCTTTTCTTCAAAATTATTTTGATATATAACCTCATGTGTTGGTATAATTACTTATGTTGCTGTAAAACTATTATTATATAAAGTATAATAGCACAATTAAGCATTTCAACACATTCCTGAACAGTCACTCCAGTATTTGCAGCAACCATCAAATATACCCATGTACTTGTTAACTAAGCGACTAGCATGCCTTGTCTGGCTAATCAGTACCTCATCAGGCTATTTAACTAATTAAGTAAATTAAGCTAGCTGGTGGGGGGATTTAACAAAAACATGGAGAGGTTTTGGAAGTGAAGCAATCTTCTTCTAGTCATTCAACAAGGTATCAGTAACTTTTTGGAGAACATAAGAAATAATGTCATTAATGTTCACTAGCATATATACTAATGTTAAAATCTTTTTTTTGCGAGAAAATATATATTTGCTACTCTGATAAATAGTGCTAAACAGCCCAGGTCTCCATCTGGCTATCCTGCGTTAAGGTCACAGTTCATTCCTGGACCAGGAATCTAGGTCATAGTAGATCTTTCTGCCCGGCAGGTGTTCATGTATCTTACATATTCTGCATAGCCTCTCCTGCCAATTGGTGTACATTTTAACATCATAGTCATGGTGCCAACGGAAATATGACCCATATCGCTCTTTGTCTGAGGCCAGCTGGTTCAGGAAATCAGCCAGTTCTTTAATGGAGTTGAAGTCGTCCACATGGATGAAGGAGTCTTTGGGAATGAAGGCCTCGTAGTTAGCTCGGGGTGGGCCCAGCACAACTGGCACACTGCCAGCTTGGAAAGAGTTTCTCCACAGCTTCTCTGTTATGTAGTCTCTATGCACCGAGTTCTCAAAGGCCAGGTAGAAGTAGCACCGAGAAATAGTGGATAACAGCTGGTCAGAGTCTAGTGGCTTCTTAGCCCAGTGTCCATAAACCTCCACAGGGATCAGCTTCTTCAGACTCAGGTACACTTCAGTTCTCTTGTGGGTCGGCTGGTAGTTGCTGACCACCCAGCAGGCCAGCGTTTGCTTAGCGGGGATAATATAATCACCTTCAGTGGTCCTGGGAACCAGCTCCCCATAGGGTGTGAAGATATCTGCATCACGCCGGTATGTCATGGTCCAGTTGAAGAGGCCCCCATAAGGTCTCAGGTCCCCATTATGGGATGGAGACTCCAAGGAGAGCCACACCCACTTTTGGGCTGCTGGACGAGGTTGGTCAAGGGGCAGCCTGGAGAAGCCTGTTTGTAGCTCCTTTTGGTGGAAGACCACCACGTCAGCCTGGTGATACAGACTGTGAATGTCCACCAGGTGGCAGCCAGGGACACCGTAATTCTTCCTACACACGTCCCCCTGCAGTTTGTAGGTGTGCCCAAAGGGCCAGTGCCACAGCAGAATGGTGATGTTGCTACGTCCAGCATCCTGCCTTCTGCTACTGCCCAAGCAGTGGTATATCACACTGGTACTGATGGCAAAGATCAGGAGGAGGACCAAGAAGACAGATGTTGTGTTCCTTCTCATAGGAACCATTGGTCACACCAGGGAACTGCAAGACACAGGAGAAGAACTGCAGCTTGGTCTTTGTAGTCGGCTTCAAAGAACTTATGCTGTAGGCAAGAGCAGTTCACGTTAAAATTGTTGGTCTTTCCTACAAAAAAAGTTAAGATATACAGAAGCTAGCTTCATTTATTAACAGTTTTACAATCATGTGGGTAATTGTAAAAAACAGGACATAAGACTCATCCCTGATAAGTAAACTTCTGGCACATTACTCACTCATATTAAGGGAGTATCTATACAATAAGGAAACAGAATACAATACAACCAGGACAAGTTCTGGTAAAATCCCATGACTGTGAGAGTAACTCTATTGATTGAATTAATAATGTATGCCTTTTCCCCATGACTTTCACTGAATTTTACTTGCATCAGTCCTCTTATCATATACTGTAGGTGGGGTTACTTTCTCGCTCACCTATAGTAGTGTTGCAATAGTATTGCACAAACGCCTCGCACTGCCATCTTGGTGCATGGTCAGTCATGGTACTCCGAGAATTTGAATGCAAGCAAGTGAAGACAAGTAGGGCTTTATTCTCACACCAATCATTTCAGTACACTGCTTACGGTGATGCAAAAATAATGTTATAGAAATGTAAAATAAATTAAACAAAATAAAAGCAAATGATGTAAAGAGAAAATGGATATTACTGGATTATCTCTTTTTTTCAAGCCTTGTGCAAATGAAAAGTGCCTAAAGTCTGCAAGTACAATTTATTTATTTATGGGTGGGTACATGAAATGCAGGGAAAAGTTTGGATGAATTATTTCAGTATATTCACTGGTCACTTGTGCTGATCTGGTTTGATCGCACATTAGTCTTAAATGTGGATTGAATATAGTTGCAATGGAATCCAATCGGGCACTTCTGGATCAAATTCTGAGGTCAGGACCGATTCCCAGCTAAACAAAAGCAGGAACAACCTGTATGCTCCTCAAATAAAATATTCAAATGTACATGTGAGATTTAGACTTGCCAGTTTTTATTTTCAGGTATTCTTTTCAGTCAGAAGTCGTTTTTTTTCTGTTAGAGACAGGTTGGTTTGGTTTTTAAGGAACTATATTATGTTATAATAAGTCCAATAAAAAGATTTTGGTATTCAGGCCTTTGACCTTTTCTTTAGTGATTTTCACAGTTTGTTTCAAGTGACTGCATTTGTAAATTTGTGTTTCATTTAGAGCTTTTTGAACATTTGGAAACATGGAAAGATACTATATATTATTTCATATGTCATTCATGTCGGTTTGATATTGAATGGGATTGAATTGTATTGCTAGCTTGTGAATTGGAATCGAATGGAATCGGGGCATCTGTTCCAATACCGAGCCTTATCAATAAGCATAAATGTAAAGTAAAATAGTGAAATTTTTTTAGGTTAAAATGCAAGCCTTGGTGAAACTATGTTGAAGGTTTTTCTCTGACGGAAAGGCAGCAACAGAATATATTCTTCTTTGTGCTTTTTAACATGTGTGACATGAACTGAATGACAGTGAGTGAAATTCAGTGAGTATCACTGTGCATACATTCTGTGACATTGATAAACCTGTGCTCTTACACTGCTTTCAATTTTGAATATGAGAAAACTTGATCAAAAAGCAGGTATGTCACTTTGCATGCTGTCTGTTTACCTATATTCATTTTTTAAGCAATGATGCCTACATTAAATTAGTTTTTCCAATAATATTTCAACACCAAGTAAGAGGAACACATTTACAAGGTGAAGTATACAGTTACATATACCACTTAAAATGAAGTTATTTGCAAACGTTTAGCAGCAGATTAAATGGTTAAAATTTCAAACAAATGAGTCAAAAGGGGAAAGCAGAGCGAAGGTGACTTGTGACTGACTGACTGCACAATGTGGCGATTCTTACTTGCCTGTGATATCTGTGCTTTCCTGGGTTTAGGGGTGCAAGCAAGCGAGGATGTCTCATCACAGTCCTGTTTCAGTTCGGGGTTCAAGTGTTTTCTGTCAGTGACTTTTCTGTCTCTTTCTCTGTCTCTCTGCTACCCATTTTTTCTCTCTCTCTTACTCTCTCTGCCCTCCCCCTCTCCCCTCAGCCCTCTTTCACACTGTCACACTATACTCATTTGACTATTCTGCCTGCCACCAGGGAAATTAACTTAAACATCATGACTCTATTCTACCGCACATATAGCCTGAACGTTCCCTGATGCAGGTACTGTTGGGCCGCTGTAGGTTAAACTGCAAAATCCGTATCATTCATGGAGAGCAAACGTCTGAATATGACATTGCCATATCTCTCGATGGAGCACAAATCCAGACTAGAAAATTCACAATCCCACTTGAGCTTCTCATAGCCCCTCTCCTCCACCTCTCCATGTGATGGTGGACTTTCCACCCATATTGGCACTTTATTATGCTATTGCACCGTAGCATAGAACCCTGTCAATCTTCGTCACATCCTGTTTTTCCTGTGCCTCAGTCGGTAAGCTCTCCCAGCAAGGAGGTTTATTGTGTCTCCACTTTTCCCACAAACTTACCATTAACATTTGCATAGATTTAATAAGTAAAAGATGTGTTTGATAGCTCAGTGGCCCTGAACTATTAAAGGACTGACACCTGTGGCTGTACCATCAGAACACCAGCCAACCCTCCATGTTGTTGACAATCTGATTCTCCTTCTTTTGACTTGAAAGACATCTTGAGCTTTTTTTGTCGGGCTGGGTCCAGTCATGTGACTGCGGGGGCCCTGGTTCCTCCACAAGCTACCTCAGCTCAGCGGTGGCTAAGATTACTTCCTTCACCGCTGTTCCTGTTTGTCGCATCTGTCGACAAACCAATGTCATGTGGACGGAGCTGATATAGTTGAGCGCTGTGCCCCCACCGGAACACAAAGGAGCCTGCAACTCCCACACAAACACCTGGCACTAACGGGGCCCACAGTGCAGATGATGCAAGGCAGCTTAGGTTGGATCAGCCTTTATCCCCTCATCAGCCAGCCAACCATACTGTTTATACTGCTTCCTCACAATTGGGCCTCTTTGAGGTATGTGAGATATTGCTGAGGCCTCACATCATTTAACTGGGAGGTCAGCAATGATGGCAAAGATGCATGTTGTGAGCTTCCGCTACCATGACGAACATATGGCACCGCTGTCATTTTAGTCTAAGACCACGACAGAATAAACGTGTAACATTTCATACTGAAGTTTGGTCCCAGTGAAATTTGTAAACTCGTAGTGAGTTGTGATTCACTGCCCTTCAGGGTGTTCAATAGGTGAGTGTTCTTGTGTCATCACAGGGAAATATGCTGCTTAGTAAACTATTTAAGGTCTTTCCCAACTGTTCTCTATCCTACTGGGTGGTTCTGGCATGTTGGGCACAGAATATTACAGCTGATCGTGATTCAAAACCAGATTCATAGGATGTGAGACCTCATGTGGTATGGAGAACAAATCCAGTTGGCTATTTTCATCATCGCCAGGTCAATGACATTTACCACTGCCACTCTTTTTTTCACTGCCCCCCCCCCATCCCAGTCAACAGGTTAAAGGTGCCCCACCCCCTTTTTCAAAAGCTTTCCGTTTTCACAAAAACATAGTTTCCCCTATGATTGATTTCACCGCAACTAGGTTTGCAAATATAGAAAAGTATCTCACAATAAACAAGAAACAAACTCCACCCAGAATGAAGCATAAATCTGGCAGACAAGGTTTAACTAACCACATCCAGCAGGGAAGGGTGAGGTCTGCAGGGGGATCACTGGTATATATTTTCTACAGCGGAGGAAGTTTGTGTTTACAGTTTCATGTGGCCTGTCGGGCAGGTCAGGAAACTGTAAGTAAAACTAAAAGTGTTGCTTTTAATTTGATTTGGATTAAACTGAACAGCCTCCATCAGTGTTGAGCTTATTTCAGGCATTTTAATGCATACACTCATTCATTCAGCATGAATCCAGCATAAGGGTGGTTTCTCTGACCCTAAGGTTGCTGTTACACCGTGGAAAACAACCCCATTTTACTTACCATAGGTGAAAAGGACTTACCCAAATGAAAAGATTTTGCAACGCTGAATAAAAATCCATCACCCATATGCTAACTGCTTATCTCAGTTAGGGTACAATTAAAATGTACAACAAAAAGTATTTAAAAAGGTCAATTTATTACAGCATCTGCAATTTATAACTAAGTGAAGGCTTGAAGTATGTACTTTACAGCAACATTTGTCTGCTAATGTAAAAGAAGTCAAGTAAAACAAGCATTTTAAAAACTGTGTGAAATACTAGAAGAAGGAGCTCAAAAAATGAAAGACTATAAATGATGTGACTAAAATAATGTGCAGCCTGCTGAGTTCTGAAATCCTGTGCTTTCTGTACAGGTAAGAAAGACTTCAATGCAGAATGAAGCCAAAGGGCATCCATCATCTGCACACTTCCTGTTAGGCACTTCCTCTGCTGAGCAGCTGCGAAAGCAGCTGTTTCTCTTCACTCGTTCTGCAGTCTGAAGTTCTGCTGATAGCAGTTATTGATTTGTTATTCATTAATTTCTGAGAAAGGGCACAGCCAGAACCCCGGCCAGGAAATTGAGAGAGGAACTGTACACACTATACAGACAAAAGTATAGGGACACCTGGCCTTTGCACCTACAGGAACCTTTATGACATGCCATTCTAAATCCATAGGTATCAAAATGCAGTTTTGATACCACCCTTTCCACAAGATTTTAGAGTGTGTCTGTAGGAATTTTTGCCCATTCATCCATTTGTGAGGTCAGGCACTGATGTTGGGCGTGTAAGCCTGGCTCACAGTCTCTGTTCTAGTTCATCCCAAAGGTGTTTGAGGGGGTTGAGGTCAAGGCTCTCTGAGGGCCAGTTAAGTTCCTCCACACGAAACTCACCCAATGATGTCTTTATGGAGCTTGCTTTGTTCACTAGGGCACAGTCATGCTGGAACAGAAAAGGGCATTCCCCAAACAGCTGGAAGCATAGAATTATCTGAAATGTCTTGGTATGCTAAAGCATTAAGAGTTCCCTTCACTGGAACTAAAGGGCCTAGCGCAACCCCTGAAAATCAACCCCATATCTAATCTTTCTGTCTATTAGACTCATCCAATAGACTGTCAAATAGAGAAGCATTATTAGTCACTCCACAGAACACATTTCCACTGCACCAGGGTCCAGTGTTACGAGCTCCAGTCTAGGTTTGGAGCCCGACAGAAAAGAAAGGGAAAGGGTAAGGGTAGGACAAGACAACCAGGGAGCGAAAAAAGGGAACACAAGTAAACAAACGGGTTATTTTTCTAAATATTTTTAACATTTTATTCACACCACACGGACACTTAACAAATCATCCGGTGCAACAAGACTTTGGGAGTGACTATGGCCAAAATAACAAACAAAAATGCAAGTGGAAACAAAAAAACAATCCCTGCACCTGACTCAGTCACTGGCAGTCACTCACTACACACCAATCCACTTATACACGCAAACATACACAATGTCCGAAATCACAGTGTCCGAGGGGGTGAGCAAAAGAGTAAACCAGTACGACGAAAGATCGAAATGAAGAAAGC